AAAAAAAAAGGAAGGAAAGAAACTTTCTTCAGCTAAAACTAAAATCCCTTTTTGTCCTTCCTAGTCATTTCTCAATTGCCTTTGTTTACTTATTTATTTTTTGAGACAGTGTCTCACTTTGTCACCCTCGATAGAATGCCATGGCGTCATAGCACCCAGAACCTAAAACTCCTGGGCTCAAGAGATTCTCTTATCTCAGCCTCCCAAGTAGCAGGGACTATAGGTGCCCGCCACAATGTCTAGCTATTGTTTTAGAGACAGGGTCTCACTCTGGCTCAGGGTGGTCTCAAACCTGTGAGCTTAGGCAATCCGCCTGCTTCGGCCTCCCAGAGTGCTGGGATTACAGGGGTGAGCCACTGCACCCAGCCTCTCACTTGTCCGTTATACCCTACCTTTCTGTGGTCCACCAGGCCTGCGTCACAGGTGATGCAGACATGGTTCTGTCTCCTGCATCCTCAGCCTCCCCCTTGCTCTCCTTCCTCCATGAGGACAACTTATCATTGCCATATGAGTCATTCACAAGGGGCACCAAGGAAAGGAAGTTACTGTCCTTGGAGCTTAAGACCTAGGACTGGAACACCAAAATGCTTCTGTGCTTGTGGGTGGCTTTAGTCACTCTCATGCTTTTTCTTCCTGTTCTGGAACTTCTACATCAGAGTCGCAAGCTCATAAGGCCTACAGGGTCCAGGTAGGCAACATATAGGTGAGATAACAGGCAAGGATAGTTGGCCAGCTGGCCAAGGGCGGGCCGCTGCTCAGCTGTAGCTACTCTGGCCATCCAGCAGAGCTGAGCCTTCTGATTTGACAGGCAGGGAAACAGATTTTTTTTCAAAATGTGAAATCTCATTTTTAAATATTGGCAAATAAAAAAAAAATATTTTTAGACCACTGAACCAGCCAAGCAAAACATGCCTGCATTTGTGACCGCTGTTCTAGGTGCTTCTCTCTGTCCTCTCCCACCCAAGGCAACACGTGGATTCCCACCATGCTGTTTTCAGGTGAAGGGCTAACCTCAGAGACCACTTAGGAGCTCCAGTAGTTCTAAGGCCAGGACTTGCCAGCTGAGAGGCGCTGGCTCTGGTGAACATACGGCACCAGGCAGAGCTGATCACTCGAAATGCCAAGCTGTTTCCAGTATAACACCAGCTGCCGACTGCCATCTATAAAGCCCTAAATGGTTGTCATTCTGGTTACCTCAGAGCTGCTCCTCTCCCCATGGGCTGGAGTATGACCTCAGATCTTCTGCGTAAGAGCTCACAGTTAGCATTTTAGCCTGAGGTCTGGGAAGCCAGAGGCTGGCCAGCTCTGGAGGAAGCACTGAGCTTCAGCAAGTTGCCTCACAGCCCTGGCCGCCAAGAGAGCAAAGCAGGCGGCCTCCGGAGCACTGTGGGAGCCCCAATATTTAGGCCATGCCTGAGGAGCACGGAACACGTGTTATCTTTTGTGATGATTCAGGGCTTTCAGTGAAAACCTAGGAGATGCTCCCTGCTCTGCCTCAAGTCAACACTGGGGTTTCTGCTCAGATACTGCAGCCAGCCCAGTTTCTGTCCCTTTTGCAAGGAGCACCAAATCAGGGCCAACGCTTTTGGCAAAGCCTGTTTCAGCTGAACAATGTAAAACTGAGCTGGAGTGGGTTGTGGCAGGCAAACCTCCTCAGGCTTTAGAACAACCAACAATGTGCTCTTGTCCCCCGAGTCAGGGTAGGAGAGGGAGAAATCCTCTTAATTTTTTCTCCTTCCCCCTCTGAGTGGCTCTTGCCATCTCTACTCCAGAGAGGCCAGGCGGGTGGGCAGCAGGCGGGTGGGCAGCCTGCTTTCCTGGCTCTGGGGAATGTAAGCAGGAGCACCATGGAAACGCCCAGAGTGTGCAGGACACCGCAGTAGGAACAAAACTCTTTCAAGTCCAGAAACAAAATCCTGACCCTTTCATGAGGGCCGTGGATGGCCCCTGGTTAGGGACGCTGGCAGGCTAGTAGCCCGGAACCTCACATGCTGAGAACCCTGGACCTCAGCCCAAAGACAGAAGGAGTAAGGGAAAAAAGAAAGTCTGAAACCTTATTCTAATGCCACACACCGCAGCCCTGAGATGGCACCACACTGATGGAGATACTCAGGTCTCTAAACTAGAATGCCCAGAATTCTGAGATATAGCTGCTACCCTACTTGGGCAAACAAAGACACCAGATGAAGGCCCATGGACAGAGATGATATCCCACACACAAAAGCACATCTCTGTTCTCACCATCTTCCACCAAATACCCTTGAAATACTCTGTGCAGGGACACTCACCAATGTTTGGATGTTTCAGAAGTCGACATATCCGGGCCTCACGTTCTAGTTTCTGGTGATCTAAAAGCAGAAGAGAGAAAACAAAAGCCATCAACCATCTATTGTATTTGCAGTCACGTGGCTATTCACATTCCTTCAATTCTTAGGCACCAGCTACGCACATCTGATGACTTGCTGAATTAATACAGCACCTCACAGCAATTCTGGAGATGGTTCCTGTGAGCACCCTTTCCAGATGAGGAAATGACTTGAGAGGTTACACACTCTCAAGTGGGGAGAATGGAGGTGGGATTTGAATCCAGGCCTTCGAATAAAGTGCTGGTGTTCTTTCTCTTGCAACAAGGATTTCGTTGGGTCAAGGTGTCCAGGATCTCTTTCTATTAGAAATACTAATGATATGGGGCGGTGCCAGTGGCTCAAAGGAGTAAGGCACCGGCCCCATATGCCGGAGGTGGCAGGTTCAAACCTAGCCCTGGCCAAAAACTGCAAAAAAAGAAAAAAAAAAAAAAAAAAGAAATACAGTTTAAAAAAAAAAAAAGAAATACTAATGATAGCTAAGCTGTACTGAGCACCTAATGTATCTACCTGGCACTGTGCTAGGAGTTCTGCATACATTCTCTGGGTAATCTTTATGGTAACTCTGAAACATGCCGATACTGACAAATAAAAATGTTGACGATCAAGATAATGATTTAAAATAATAACAATAGCAGCTAACATTTGTTGAGGGCTTATTTCTACCACAGGTAGATACAATTGTTAATTTACCCTCGTAACAACTCTAGGAGTTTGGCACTATTATGATGCCCATATTATTTTATTTTTTTTTTGAGACGGAGTTTCACTCAGTCACCCTGGGGTTGAGTGTCATGGTGTTATTGCTCACAGCAACCTCAAACTCTTGGGCTCAAGTGATACTCCTGCCTCAGCCTCCTGAGTAGCTGGGACTATTACAGGTGTCCACCACAAGGCCCAGTTATTTTTTTTTTTAAGAGATGAGGTATTGCTACTGCTGAGGCTGGTCTTGAACCCGTGAGCTCAAGTAATCCGCCTGCCTCGTCCTCCCAGAGTGCTAGGATTATAGGTGTGAGCCACGGCGCCTGGCCTATGACACCCACATTAGAGAAAGACAAACAAGGACACAAGTCCTGCTTCTCCCCCATAATCTTCTTGGTCACCCACTGCCATGAGCTCTGACCTCTTCACACTCACTCAGGCTCCAGGACTTGACCAGAATCCCGAGTCCCAGATCCAAGTGAGCTGCATGGGCCGATTCCTGTTCCTGTGGAACAGGAAGGCAGAGCTCCAGGAAGTGGACAGAAAGGGTGCTACTCCAAGCAAGGAGGCTCAGGAGCCCTCCCCACCCTCTCTCCCCATCTCTGCTTGCTGGAATCCTGCCCAAAGTCTCTTCTTTCATAGAGGTTTCCCTGCTCCTCTCAGTAGACTGTGACTTGTCCCTGCTGTGACCGTCTCCCCACCAATCTCCCACTGCACCTCTCACGAGTCTCCCGTCGTATGTTACATCAGTTATCTTTCGGTCACGAGCTCCTCAAAGGAGGGGACCACAGTACTTCCTAGAGTTCCTTCCATAAACAGGGCTTAATACAGGTTTACCAATAACAACAGGAGTGGTCGTAACTCCCACTTACTAAGCCTTCACTCCACGGCAGGCAGAGGCATGGGTTCTCATATTTCATCCTCACAGAAACTCTGTGAAGCAGGGATCTGATTAGCTCTGTTCCCTTACAAATGAGGAAACTGAGGTTTACAAAGATAAAGTAACCTGCCCAAGGTAACAGAGAGAGCCAGTGGAGGCAGGTGGTCTGAGCCTAAAGCCCTCTTTCCCTACCACTATGCTATGATGACCAAATAAAGAAAAGGACTGAATTTAAAAAAGGGAGAATATCACATAAAGATCCCAGGCTCTGGAGGGTAGACTCCAGTTCTCCCAGATTCCTCCAGCCTGGGCTGGTGCCCTCACATCCACACCTGCCAACTAATTCCTGTCTCCCTTGGTAGGGGTTTCTCCCTGCCCTGCCGCTACCCTAAACAGCAAAGAAACCTCTATAAAGCCTCTCATGACCCTCACAGTGGTCCCGTTGAGTAGGTGCTATGATTGTTCCCATTTTACATATGATAAAACTGAGGTCCAGAAAAGTTAAGTAACTTGCCGGAGATCCCACAGCTGGAAAGGGACAGAACTGGGATTCAAACCCAAGCATGTCAGTTTGCGATAATGGAGAGATTACAGACTAGAAGAAACTCACATCATTTATTGTTTCACCAAAAAACCCAGCTTTGTCTTAAACTTTTCCTCTAGAAACCACTCTGCTTTGTGGAAGGAGGTGGGGATAGGCAGAGATTAGTTCCTGCTGCCCAGCTAATCCATCCCAGCTGCCCAAAGATCTGGGTCAGGCCCTCCTTCCTGTCCTTGGGTTCAGAGTGACCACTGACCAGGGCGTAGCCAGGTTACCTTAGTTGGTAACCCCCAACTCCCACAACGCTTGTGTCCTTTGGTCCCAGACAATAGGATGTGGCCAGCAACCTCCAGAAGCTGGGGCACTTGAAGCTGCAGCAATATTTGGGGTGGAGAGTGGGGCTTGCTTCTTTCAGATCTGGCTGGATGTTAGTGTGATCCCACCTTCCGCCCTACCCCAAGCCCTTGGCCATGAGATGGAGGTACCAAACTAGCCCCCCCTAAAGCTGCAGACCCACAGGCCCTTTTTGGCCACTCACCTCACCGCCCACTAACCCACATGCTTAGGCCTGGTTGCCTGGGCAGGTGTGGGAGAACAGCATCTTGCGATGCGGAGGTGGCAGCTGAGGGGAAGGCCCAGAAGATTAATGTTTATCTCCTCCCTTAAGTCTCTTACTGGCTAATGGTTACAGTCTCACAACAGCAACAGCACTAAAAATAAGGACGCTTTGGCTTTACCAGTGACTCAGAGAGGAGAGAGGACAGAGGACAGACACAGACCCAGGCTCCCAGCTCCTCGAAGGAGTTGCCCAGGGTCCAGAAAGTCCTTGTTAGACTCTTAGTTCAAACCCTAAATCCAGGAGCTGGGCCCTACATTCCAGAAAAGGCCCAGGTCTTCTCTGGACTCTAGGGCTTGTACCTTGGCCTCGCTCTGATTTCATGCCCTGAAGTATGTCAATCAACACATCAGTTATGGAGTCAGCCCTGATCGAGTCCAGCACAGCTGCATCTGGCAAGTTATTAAACCGACCGGAACCTCATTCATTCCTTCAAAAACCATTTTTCCTTGCCCTCATGGAGCTGACATTCGAAGAGGGCGGAGTGTGGGGAAGGGACAGACAATAAGAAAACTTGGTGGCATGTTAGACATCATGGCAGGTGCTACATAGAAAAATAAAGCAAGGAAGGGACAGAGTGGAATTTTAAGCAGGGTGGTCAGGAAAAGCCTCAGCCAGGAGGTGGGTGACATCTGATTAGGATCCAAAGGCAGTGAGAGCGAGCCAGGCACATACCATAGGAAAGTGTTTCCTCACTTCTAAAATGAAGACAGCAATAACCCAGGTTTAAATGAGGAAATATGGGTAAGGCACTTAGCATAGGGCTTGGCACATAGTAAGAGCCTTCTTTCCAGGGCCTAGAGGTAAGGTGACAAGGTTTTCTGGGCCAGACTTGTGGTCACAGCTATCACCAGAGACACTTAAGGTGGGACCCGCTCTCCCCTCAACCTGGAGATGCAGGATCCACAACACATCACCTGAGCCCCTTTCATCTGGCCTTCGGGCTTCTCACAAGGTCCTTCACTGCAGTCCTGAGGGTGAGGTGCTTCTCCCCTGTTTTGGGGGGGGCCCAAGGGGCCCACCCTCATCTCTAGTCTGCAGGTTAGCAAAGGCAGGAAGCGCTGCTGCCCACGGGATCCCATCCCTCCTCTTCCTCGCTGGCTGTGGCACCCTGCCATCCAGAAGCTCTGCTCAGTGAGCTGAGCGGCTTCTGCCGACCAAACTCTCCCTCCTCCTGCCTCCACCCCAGCCTCTCCAGCTGTTGTCTCCTGTCTCTTTCCCCCACACTTCCTGTCCTGTAGTCACCTCCAGGGCTGGTCCATGACTGGGAAGAAGCAGAGCAACCCCCCTCCCCCCCAACAGAAGCAGTATTTCAGGAATAAGCGATGGTTTGTGGAGCTTTCTCGACTGCAAGGGCAGCCCCACTAAACAGAGCATCCCCAACCCCAAAAGGGGGATGAGGCCACTGAACTGGCTTGGTCCACAGTGCTAGGAACGAACAGGCCCTGGCTCAGCATCCAGGTGACAGCACACCAGCTGACCTTCTTGCCACAAACGTGGCCTCCTCGTTGAGACCCCTGCTTCTGGTACTACTGACCCTGTTCCCACCACGTTTCTGACAGGCTTGTCCTCGCCCCCTCCACAGCCCAGCCCCCTCTTCCTGTTTGACAACAGCCACTTCCCGCTTTTGCACAGGGCCACTTCCTGCCTGCCTGTGTGCTACTGCCATGGAGAGACCCACCCTGCCGGCCTTCAGCCCAGCTCCAACCACAGCCCTCTGCAGGTTTTCCCCCTCAAGAGCAGAGGTGGCCACAGGCGCAGAAAGCAGAAGCAGCCATTGTCAGGGACCCTCCAGGCCCAGCTTGGGCCCCAACAACCCTCCCAGGGCAGAGCCAGGTCCTAGGAAACAAGGATCCCGGAAGCCTTGCCTCTCCCAGCTGCTCCTGCCAAGCACTTCAAGACTTGATCCAGGGCACTACGATTTCACAGGAAAGATGGCAAGGAGTGACCAGATGCACCAAGGGAGGCAGAAAAGAGGAAGCAGACAGTGAGGTGATAGCATGCAGCACCGGAGGGTACAAAGCCTTAGAACCACCTCTTCCCTCCAGCCCACAGAGAGATGCCTACTCCAGATACGCCTTCCTTCCTCCACAGAATCAGGGAGCAGGGAAGGCCAGCCACTGATGCTCCATGGCCCTGCCACAGAGATGTGCCTACTGATTTAGTGACATTTGTTCTAAAAAACTACAAATGCCAGCACCGGCTTCAAATAAGATCCTAAACACATAACACTTTTATGGGAAAGG